CATCCATCCATCCATCCATCCATCCATCCATCCATCCATCCATCCATCCATCCATCCATCCATCCATCCATCCATCCATCCATCCATCCCTCCCTCCCTCCCTCCCTCCCTCCCGCTTATCCCTGCTGGGGTGGCGAGGAGTGCTGGGTGCCTATCTTCAGCTCTCAGTGAGGGAGAGGCAGGGTTCACCCTGAACATGTCACCACTCCATCACATGGCAACACAGAGACAAACATGACAAACATCCATTTACGCAGAAACTAACACCTAAGCAGAACTTAGAGAAATTAAACCTAAATTAAAAGCTAATTAAACCTAACAGCCATTTTTTTGGACTGTGGTAAGAAGTTGAAGTACCCGGAGAGAACCCACGCATGCACAGGGAGAACATGCAAACTCTTTGCAGAAAGACCCGGGCCGGGAATCTAAATGGAACCTTCTTGCTGCAAGACAGCAGTACTACCGCTTCACTGTGTAGCCCAGAACAGCTTATCCAGCTCTGGTCGACCTAAATTCAACTACTGAAGGAACACCGCTGGACAAAATAGCTCATGCCATACTGGTGGAGCTGCCTCAGAACTGCCGCTACCAGTTGACCACTGTACCTAAAGGGAGACGTCATGGGCTACTTCATCACTGTTTAATGCATTCCTGATTCACTGTTTGGTTTTTACTGTAAAACCAAATGAAACCAAATGAAATGTTTTTGACTGCGGTTAACATCTCTTGCGTCAGGGTTTATTCAAATTCATCTGCTACTATTTTAAAGGACACTTTGAATGCATTAAGCCTTAACACTTGAACATTTCTCTGAGCCTTTTGAATGGACCTTTAAACCCCTTTTACCCTTTTATTTGTTTATTTAGTTGTGCTTATTTACCTTAGTGTTTAGTGTTTGCATAGTTATTAGATATAATAATAGTGTGTCATTATTAGCTAATAATGGTACCATTGTATTTTAACCCGTGGTCGTTTATGTTTATTTTACACAGTGAAGGATTTATCACTCAGGCAAGGGTTCAAGGAGACAGAAGCAGACATACAGATATTGACATGAATGAGAAAAGGTATTTGGTGCTCGGGCCCCGGCAGAAGACTTCAGTGCTGAGAATCGATATTCCCCCCAGATGAGTAACTTAGGAAAAGAATTATAATCTTCCCTCTGGGGCCCTGGCACTGGTGGTGGCATAAGCCAGGGGGTGAGTGGAACTGAGAACAGTCTGAGAGTGAGGGAGGAGATGGGTAGGAATTAACTTGTGTGCAGGAGAGAAGCTATGCCAGGAGCTAAATGAAGGGGATCTTTAAAGATGATTAGCTTTGGAGAAGGTGCAGAACCGATGCTGATTGACTGAAGCTGATAAGAGTCTTCCGGATTCAATTTTCGTTTAAGCTTACTGTAATATTCTTTATTCTTTCTCAGTAGTTAATTGTTTATTTAGAGTATATAGAAATGGTTCAACTTGTACAAACAGTACTTTTAATTATTTTGACCAGTAGACTACTGTTACCATAACATACTGTAGCAGCTAAGTGTACCATCTTACCTACTCTGATGAAGAAGGAGCCTTTTGCCTCCACCAGACAATGAGCAGCAGTGACAATCCATCGCTCTGAGAGGATGGAACCCCCACAGAACAATAGACCACTGGGATTTGCTATCAAACCAACCTGGAAATAACACAGATTAACAGACCAAGGGATAGACTCTTTACTTTTTTGCAGGTTGCAATAAAGTTCCTGATATTTCTAAACAGTACCTGCCATGGAATCTCTCCTGGAGTGACTACCCTCCCTCCAACTATACGTTTGAAAGGTTCTGGTGACTTGTCAGAGAGGATTTCAGAGTGGTTGGATTCTCTCAATAGGAGGTCACTGAGAGACTGATTCTGAAAAATGTCACCATACTCATCTGTAACCAAAACTGGCTCTGTGATGCTGGCTGTTGTAGGGGAGGGTGTAGTAGACGTAATATCATTTATAGGTGTGGTGCTCGAGTGGTCTGAAGAACGAGGGATGTAGAGAGACCTCTTGAATGGGCTCACAACAGTATATGCAGTTCTCCCACAAGGGTAGTCAACTGATTATGAAAGAAAAGAAGCAGTAAATATTAAACAGCAAATACTTGATCTTTTATTACAATAATTTAATTTAAAAGTCCAAACCTGTTGCCTCACAGCTGACTCCATCCTCCATCAACTTATATCCTGTTGCACAGAAGCATTTTGCTCCGAGGGTTCCCATTGTGCCACAGAAATGCATACAGTCTCCATTGTTTACGTCACATCTTTTTACTAATTCTGGGCAAAAGGAAAAAAAACAGAACCTGGTTAAAGTTTCACCTTCAAATTGCATTTTACTTTAAAAACTTCTCAAATACCTGTGGTTGAATCCTTAAAAAAAATTAGCTCTAAATCAATATTTAGTCAAAAAAAAAAAAAAAAATGATGTAATTACTGCTTCAATTTTTTTTTGTATGTCACAGTCAGACAGGTATATCTGTATTTAGTATTTTTTCTTTATTCTTTATAAAATAGTTGCTGCCCTCCTCAGCTGCCCTGTGATTAGCTCCAACAGCTTACCTGTGTGACCTGATGCTAGCCATTGCCTTAGCCTGGTCTTGCCATCTCACCAAGAGATATTGTGTTATGAGGGGTTTGCAGTAACAGTTTGTTACAGTGCCACTCATAGCATGTACTACCAGTTGTAATATTGCATGTAGGCCAAACGCACAACCTTGTTTTCACCTGACATGAAAACCTGATTGCATTTTAACATATTTTCTGTGTCCACTAATTGCCTTGTGACAGACTAGAAACTTAAACTGTTATGTTTCAGCTTTTTTGCCACTGAATTTTATTCAGGGATGTCAGAATAAAGAGGTCTTGATTTGAATTCCTGCCAGACTTGTAGATTCTGCAAGAGATCTGCAACAAGTTATTTGGTCGGTTACATTTACTTGACTAACGTTTTGGAAAAAAAGAAAAAGGAGTCGTTGTACTGCATTGTAATTCTTACTTGAGTTAAAGAATGTGATGAAGCTTCATTACTCTTACTTAACATTTCTGCTGCATCAGGAGTAATTGACCTCAGTTTTAAAATAAAAAATGAACCATACAGACACATCTACTGTTGATGTTCACATGAGATGACTTTTTTGTTATTTTCAATCAGCTGATCCCGCGGTGTCATTTAGAGGTTAAGTATAACAGCAGCAAAAGTTTAACTATATCTTGTTATTGGAAGCGGTTAACCCTATCCTAACCTATATCCATCAAGCACTATCATCATATATTTTTTACATTTTAAAAGAAAAAAAATATTAAAAATACAAATTCAAGAAGTTTCTTTCACTGTAAATTATTATTGTTTAATCACACTATGTTATATGACTTATCATTTTATCTCATTGGTTGAAACACCACAATTTGTATATAACTTTATATCTGGTGTAATTTTACTTAGTTTTCAATTTTCCAAAATATAAAATCAAATGTAGGTTACTTTCTCATTACTTGAGTTGTCTTTCACTGGGTACTTTTTATTTTTACTTGAGTATTTTATTAGATGGCTACTTTTTACTTGCCTAAAGATGCAATGCTTGTCTTACTTCAGTACAGTTATTGGGTACCACCTCTGGATTCTGTATTTTTTTCTGTTTACAATATTAAAATAAGTATAAATTACTTTTACAGTTATACCCTTATTTGTGTAAGTCTATCGTCTACCCTCATAGGATACATCAACTTTAGTTTTCCATGACAAAATGTGAAAAACGTGTTTCTAAATGTTTTGCAAGCTTCTTTATGTTTATAGAGTGGAAAAGTAAGTTATATTCCAGCACTGCTGACCATACAGAGAATATAAAGTGATTTATTTTTTAATGCAAGAAGCAAATTAGAAACTTGTTGTTTTGCATAGCATCACATAACCCAGTTCAGTTTGCTTGCTGTACACACATTCCTTCAGTTGTTGTTCTCAGAACACAGAGAAATACAAACAATTCAATACTGTATCCTAAATCCAGATTGTTTGTTTAATTCGATTTAACGAACAGGAGAAAAGAACATTTGGTTTTATTCCTCAAAATGGATGTCATGATGTGACCAAATTTTGGTCACGTATGTATTTGAGGAAAATCTAATTTAGTTGATAAAAAAAAAAAAAAGTGCATTCACTCACCGATCTCACAGTTCTTGCCAGCAAATCCAGACTTACAATTACAGGTATAGTCACCTAGGTGGTCTATGCATGACCCCTGGTTAAGACATGGGCTTGAGTCGCATTGATTGCCATCTGAAGAAAGTCAAATACAGGATCCTAATCACCCATTTTATAAAAAAAGACACATGAAATCCAGTAATCCCTGCAGGTTATTTCTGAATAAGCATGTTCTTTGCTCTTAGATATACATTTCAAATTAATCATTCTAAAAAGATATCTTACCTATATAACCTGACCAAAACTCCATCTAAAACAACACAAAGTTAATGATCACGGCCAGCATGCATAAGAATTTGTTGTAAGAATAATTCTTAAATACTTACAGTCTTTTTATCATTCTCAAATATCTCCCTAGCTTCCTCCAGGTCACATTTTTCCTCTAAGCATTCTCTTTCTAAGTTTCCCTCCAGAAACTCCTCAAAGATCCCAGTATTATGACGTTTATGTCTGCTGAGGAGGCTGTCCGCTGTTTTTTCAGAGAGAAATACTGGACTTGGGGCTGGATAAAAAAACATACAATATACAGCCTGAGTTTTATCATCACCTCTTTTGGTAAAATCATAGAAAGTAATTTAATACCTCCGGGGCTGAGGTGAAAGTACAAAAGGAGCAATGAAAAAAAAGCTCCTGCCATTCTCACTTTCAGTGTAAATCCAACTGAATCTTTGGGCCATAGCTCCAAAGTACAAGTTTGTGTTTACACACTTGCAGCCTCAATGAGCTGCCTGCTTGTTCAGAGAAAGAAAAAACAATCTGGGAATCTCAGAAACCACTGAGTCAAGTGTTTTTCCCCTTTTGTGTAATGTGTGTTTGCTAATAAATAATGACAAGGAATCACTGTAAAAAATTTGAGATAAAGATCTTCAAGTCATTCAGGGACAGTTAATACTATACTGGTGCAGCCAGAATAACCAAGGGGGCCCTGTGAGACTTTGTCAACATTTCTCTGGCTTCAGTGTCAAGTTAAAGGCTCAGGCTTTGAACGGCTTATATATAACATTCAAATTCTTGTTTCCCAACTGCCGAACTACAAATTAATATGCATTATACTAGATATGTTTGGAAAGATTTAAGCATAAACTGTGAAAAATGTATTTTAAAAAGGCAAAAATCCTTATATGGCCAACAATATTACCTCCAACATTAGATTTTTAAAGGGTTGACCTAAATGAAAAAGTCAGTAATCTTCTAGAGCTTTCTAGATGTTTAAAAGTTGTTAGAAACTGGGTGCAATTTTTTTGAAAATATATAAACAGAGTTTTAGAATAATTCATTTAATTTAAGAAAAATCATCTTTTTGTGTTAAACAGATTTACATTTATTGTTACAACTGTACTTGGATTAATCTTTTTCATTAGCTGTTTTTTTTTTTTAAAGAAATGTACATTTTTATCAGGCAAATTAGATAAATAGATAACAGTTTGTTGCTATCTTTTTGAAATAAATACATTTAAACGACATTAGTGCATTTGTTCATCTATCCAAGCCAGAGAGAGAAATCTTATCAACTGTACTTCAGACTGTTTGCCACAAGGTGACGCCTCATCACTTGAATGCAAAATGCGGATCCCTGAAGAAACATAACATCTAATCAAGAATGAAATAATTAATCTAGTAGCAGGCATAGAAAAACGTTTTTATTCTTAAAAAAAAACTTTCAATGAGAAACAGACTAATGCGAATAATAATAGACTGGAGAACATAATACAGTATACATATTCTTTATTTTTTAAGTTGGTTCAAATAAGCTTGCCTTCTATTCTTCTCTATGTATAGGTAAGAGTTGTCATTCGTTTTTGGATAAGTTAATCTTGTCATGTATGTTATTGCTCATTTTACTGTGCATTCCCTATTTTTAGTTGGTATTGGTATAATTTAAGTGAATTCAACCAAACTCAAACCCAGTATCTAACTTATTAATCCTCACTCAAGCAAACATGTGGAGAAGAACCTATTCTTTTAATAAAAAACAACGCTCATCAAGAATCAAGATATTTTGAAATATTGACACTTGATACAGCACCTGGCTCTGGATGAGTGGCCATCTAATGAAAGACCAGAAGGGTTTATAAAAAATATTTATTATAATCTAAAATAAAACAAAATATTTAAGCATTTTCTATGAAAAGCAAAAACAAAGAGTAGTCTCAGTTCCAGGAGCTCTATAAATGGCTCATTCCAGGAAAGAGAAACAACTAAACATAGAACCATTGAGCTAGGTTTACTTTCGATGGTCAAAGAAATACAAAGGGAACAAATAAAATATAACGTTCCAGGAAAGAAATTAAGCTGAAAGCAGGGGCAGCAATTTTTTTTTTTTTTGTATGGGCAATGAGAAAACAGATAAGGGAAAGGTCACAGCACCGCTTAATACATACATTTAGACAGGCAGGGATAAACAGATCTCAGGTGTTGATTGTGCTTACATTTTCCACTAGATTACATTAGAACTCAGCAGTGTCTATAGCATTTGTAATTACAGTATAATTTCACTAATTATCTATAAAAGTAAACTCATCTACAACCTGAAGATGTCAGGAATTAAAAGAAACTTTCCAAAACATATTTCTTCTTTCTACCTGTCGTCCTCACACCCTTCACCAATCATTCAAAATATGGTCAATACTTGAGACGATGATGCCTTCGGGGACCTTGGATGCTGATTCAGCATGCCAGCTAAAGATTTAGCTCTGGTGTCGTCTTCTCGTCTTGTGTATAAGATGAAACCCATCACTAGCTTTGGAATCCCCCCACAGGGAGTCCAAAGACCTCTCAAGTGTTAACAGCTATCGACTGCGGGCATTTTGATTTTACTCAATCGTTTAGAGGCTAAATAATTCATGCTTGAGTAATTAACGCTGCCTACTTGATGCAAAAGCTTTTCAATCTTCTCAACACAGGAAAGGTATCAGGCTTCTGTAGTAATAAATATGTTTGTTTGTAATGCAGTTTACAAACTGATGGAGCTTTGAATAGATTTTCACATCATCTGACATCTGCCTGTCTAGCCTCAGTCAAAACACAACCTATACCGCTTCCCTGAGTTATATTTCTAAAATTAAAGCTGCATCTGGGGCACAACAGAGCATTTGAGCTTTATATGATCATCCTTTCTATGCATTATCAGCCTAGTTTAACATCAGTGTAAAGACTTTTGAAACACTAGGTTTACCTTCCCCCTGAGAGAAGCAGATTTTTTAAATCCATAACAAGGAAACATGAATGTGTATCAATAAACAGAAAAAAACAAACAAAGTAATCTGTAAATGTTGACTGATTGAAGAGGTTCTTCCCAACATGTCTTTCCTTTTTCCATTTGAATCACTGCTTAGTCGAGGAGTCTGTTTTGACTCCAATTAGATTAGTCACCACCAGGTCTGTGTCAGAGCCCCGCAGATAGTAAAATCTCTCATGCTTGCTCTGTTCTATTGATTGTTTCTTTGTTGCATCTCTCGAGATGTGGGGGAGTTCAGGCAGTCCAGATGGATTTTACTGTTTTATTGTTTTCTTCACCAGGAATGTGTTCTTGCCTGTCAATAAGTCATGTTTTGGATTTGGTAAGATCGTTTCTTTGTTCTTTTGTAGATGCAGATTCTGGAATATCAGCAATTATAACAACAGGAATGATCAAATCAGTTCTTTGCAAATTGATCATACCCCCTAAAAGTTTGCTTGCCTTCTCACGTTTAAAGTAGAAACCTCAATAAGACACATTAGGATTTTAAGCAATCAGCCAAATGCAGATCTCATGGAGTATTTCTCTATAAGTCTTTCCTCTACGTCTGGATTTTGATTGGATCATTCTAACCGTGAGTATGCTTTGATCTAAAGCATTAAACTGTAGTCCTGGCTTCATGATAATGGTTGTTGTCTAGAAGGGCGTAATGTTCTTCCCAGTCTTGCAGAATCCAATAGGTTTTCTTTTAGAATTATTATGAAATTGTTACATCTAATTTCTCATTGGATCCAACCAAGTTCCTTGTCCCTGCAGGAGAAAAAAACCCTACCCCCCTACATGATGATGATCATTATCTTTCAGAGTAATTTCTTGCAACTGTTTATTTCCTTTTGCCACTTCTTTATGTGTTGCACAGCTAAATAGACCAGTTTTTTACAATTAAAAAATCTCAGAGGCTTTCAAATATAGCTGTATTTACAGTTTTTTTTCCTAGACAAGAGACACCTGTCAAGCTAGTTTATCTTTACCCTTTCTGACATAATTTTTTTTTATGGATATGTGCCTCTATGCTCATTTTGTATGTCTTCTTCTCTCTCCCTGGACCCCAGTCGGCCTCGGCAGAAGGCCATTCACACAGAGCATGGTTCTGCAGGAGCTTTTTTCTGTTAAAAAGGAGTTTTCCCTCCCTTCTGCTGCCGCTTGCATGCTCAGTGTGTGGAAAAGCTGTAGAGTCAGCAAAAAAACATGCAAGTGAATATCTAATGTCGCCACATGCTCATCCAGGAGGAGTGAGTATTATAGTCAATGATTCAAAGCAATCACCAGGTTTTCCTTTGACAGGAAACTTTTTACAGATCTGATTGTATGATCTGAGTGAATTGTCTTTGAAAAGTACCTTCAGATAACATGTGTTGTGAATTGGTGCTATATAAATAAACTGACGAACTTAATTTAATTTAGGGGGAAATATAATAAAAGGGAATAAATACATGTTATCACCAAACATGAAAGATGTTTGTTTTCAAAAATATGTAAAACCCCCTTTCTATATAAGTGCTCAAAATTCACCTTGTGTTGGTCCAGCAAACAAAATACCAAATTCCGTGTTACCAGATACCCTGTCTACTTTTAAGGATAGGCTTAAAAATTTCCTTTTTGATGAAGCTTATAGTAAGAGTGGGATTAGACTGCTGGAGCACATAGGGACCCTTTTTCATCATTATGCTTCATTCTATCTCTATTCTTCCATTCTGCAGAATTTGCTAATTTAGTCTCTAACGCTGTGTTCTCTCTGCTTTTTTGAACATTGATATAACAATGGAAAAATTCACTTCTGCATCTTAACCCATCCGCTTGGGGAGCAGTGGGCTGCCACTGTGCGGTGCCTGGGGAGCAATATGGGGGTTAACAGTCTTTCTCAGGGACCCAGACTGTGGGGATCGAACCGGGTACTTGCAACCTTCTCAGAGTGCAAGAGCGCATCTCTAACCACCCTGCCACCACTCACCTAAGAGTAGGTCTTTTTCTCATGGTAGCCTCATCTGCTCTGTTCCTGTTTGGCTGTGGCACTATGGTGTTGGCTATGCTGCTGCCATCAATGCCTTTGTTTGTTGATTTTGGAGCTTGGATTGTTTTTCCAGTGTAGTCCTGTTTTTCTTACTGTATGTGCTCTATTTCATCCTCTGACTGGGAGCTGGCTTGGAACTCGTCCACCTGGCTATGTGTGTTTCCTACACAAGGCTGCCTGTGGAGCTGGTTAACAGTTGCCTTTTGTATCTCTGCTCCTTTTTCTATGTCTGCTTCTGTGTTCTTGAAAAACCCAGGCAGCCTTGGCAGATGGCTTCTCACAAAGAGCCTTGTTCTCCTGGACGTTTCTTCCTGTAAAGAGGGAGTTTTTCCTCTCCACTGTTAATACAAGCATGCTTGGTGTAAGGGATTGCCTTAGACTCAATAAGTTGATGCAATCAACTGGCTCTCCTTAGATAGAAAACTCTGAATCAGTTTGACATCATGGTCTTGTTGGATAGTAAAGTTCCTTGAGATAACATGTGTTGTGAATTGGTGCTATATAAATAAAATGAATTGATTTTAATTAAAATAAACAATAAAATAAACAAGAGTTTGGGTTTTTAGATAATTAAAAAATTGAGAAAAGATCAGTGCAAGGCACTGCATTGTTTTTTTTCAAGAGTTACAACCATTTAGTCACAGCCTTATTCTCATCACTCTCTTGGAGTGCAGTTAAGCTGTGACATTAGTTACAAATGAGGGAGCTTATTAGTTGGAATTTAAATATTATTACACTTTACAGTAATCTCTCTCTCAACTTTAAGTGTAGAATTGAAGTTTTATTATTCTAGGTAATTACAGGAATTTCTTGATTTACACTTTTTACCCTATATGAACAGGCACGTTAATATTGCTATAAGCAAAAAAAAAAAAAAAAGGTTTATTTTAAATAAAAAAAAGGGTAAGGGCACTGAAGCTTCAAATGAAAGCATTTAGGTTATCACCTTTCCCTAAAGCTATTTTGCATCATTAGCTAAATGCTTGGGTGCAAAAGATGGATTCCTAGTAATTACTCGCTTTGTCACACCGTGATGAACTGTGGCTTTTAAAACACAGCAGTCCCAGCCAAACAAATGTCCCACCTTTAGCTAAAATCACTTATTTTGACCAATAAAAAATGTCACCTTTTAAAAGATATACCATAAATAGCTTTGTTTATAATCAAATACATTTGAATTTTCCATTATCAAATAAAAACAACACTGTTCAAAGCACCCATATTCATAGTAACATGCATAATATGCCTAGAATTAGAACAGGAGAAACCTAAAAATCTCCCGCTTCCTGTACTGGCTTTGGCAGCAGAAGGCAGGACACTGTCCCTATTAAGAGGAAGGACCCTCCGGCAGAGCCAGGCTCAGCATGAGTGGCCATCTGCTTCGTCCAGTTAAGGTGAACTCAAAGCCCTGTTAGAAATGATAGGCTGTAAAAAAAAAAAAAAAAAAAAGAAAAAAAGAAAAGCAACAAAAAAAGCTAAGTGTTTTAAATTAGTGACAAATCTGAAACATGCAGGCAAATTCAACCCATTTAACTAGAAAAAGAGGACAATTATAGATTTTAGGTATAGAACAGTTTGATATTGTTTTCCCCAAATTTAAATAATCTGTTGATATGATGCATTCCTCCACTCTCAGAGTTTGGCATGCTCTTGATTTCAAAGTCTGTTTTAATATTTTTTTGTTATGCATGGTGCAAGATTTTAGCCATTATTTTTACATTTATCTACAATGTTTGGTTTTATCCAATGAAGTAAAGTCTGTTTAGGTTCGTATGAGAACATTGTTTTAACTTCGGACATTTCTAAGCCTAAATGTTATTATAGTCAAATTAATCTACTCTCACCCATAAATTGTAACTTTGCATCATAGATAATCTATCTATTCAAAGTTAACAATCTCTCAGTGAAAATAGGGGATATGAGAGGACAGACTGAGCTGACTACACCTGCAAATCCCATCTTATCTAGAAGTTATTAAAAAACCGTCATGGACCCTGAGAAATCCAGCTCTCACCCAATCTGAGGAAGAATACTCTATTTTGAATCAGATGATTACCTTAACCAGCTAATTTGAGGGCCTTTGCCCTCACAGCAACTTTCTCCACTTGTGACAGCATATCCTGGACCTAAGAAGGGGGGGGCAAGAAAGAAAGTTGATGTCAATGTTTGATCCTTTATGGTGCTAAGTTAAAATATTTGTGTTCAGGCACTACTCTGATGTTCTGCTGCAGTTTAACACATACATACAGTGGGGCAAAAAAGTATTTAGTCAGCCACCAATAGTGCAAGTTCTCCCACTTAAAAAGATGAGAAAGGCCGGTAATTTTCATCATAGATATACCTCAACTATGAGAGACAAAATGAGAAAAAAAAATCCAGAAAATCACATTGTCTGATTTTTTAAGAAATTATTTGCAAAATATGGTGGAAAATAAGTATTTGGTCAATAACAAAAGTTCATCTCAATACTTTGTTATATACCCTT